AATGATGGGCTCTTAGCATTTCCTGAATTAAGTGAAGATGGAAATCTAACCCCTTCTGATGGTTGTTTCAATTATTAATTTTACTGTCAAAACATTGTGTAGATTGCTAATATGGTAATTGTTACTAATACAAAGAATTAAATGGATGGTATTTGTAATAGGATGGATCTTGTAAGAGTATTTGTGGAGACAATATATTAGTTCTTGGATGGATATTAAAGTATAGCTGGTAAATGCCTTAAAATTTTGAATGATGGTCATAGGACAGGATATGAGCAATGTGATGATATGAATTTAATAGCACAAGATCGATGTTTTAATAGATAATTTGATTGTCCTAGAGAATGTGAGTATTGTTATCAAGGTTAATGTCTAAAGTGTCAGACAGAAACAAATTAATTAGATCTAATTCATAATTAATGCGTATAATTATGTATAGACGGATATTTATCAAATGATGAAAAATGTAATGGTTATAATTAGATTCATTTTGGATGTAATGAGTTTTGTGAGACCTGTTAAAATTATATGTGAACTAAATGTTAAATTGGCTATTACTTAGATAAATAAAAAAACTCTTGTTATAGTATCTCTGGAGATGGGATTGTGTCCCATAATGAATAATGTGATATTGGTGATTATTTTATGGACTAACAATGTGCAAGTTATAAATTAAAATGTTAAAAATGATGTACAACTTGTGTAAATGGAGAATGTTTTTAATATATTTTTTATGGATGGGAATTGGGTGTTGTTAATAGGAATTGTTATTATTTAAAAATTTCTATATAAAACTTTTTTTATTCTTAATAAGATTTAAAAAAATTAAAATATTTATACAATAGCCAATATATGAAGATTTATTAGTTTTAGGGAATGAATTATACGATGATGGAAACAATAACGATGATAATGGATGTGATAATTGCTATTTTTTAAATTTAAAAGGAATGCCATCAATATGAAAAAGAATAATGAAGAGCTTGTGATGTTGAAGGATGGGAACTAAATATTAATAGATGCACTCCAATATGTGGAGATAAATTAACTTTAGGTACAGAAGAATGTGATTACAGTAATATGATTCCTTTTGATGGAATTTATGAATGCAAATTTTCATTCGAAGTAATGTACTTTATGTGAAAAAGAAGTTTGTAAGGCTTGCATTAATCCAGGATGGATTCTTAATAAATATAATATATTTGCACTTACTTAATGCGGAGATGTCTTAGTCATTGATCCATATGAGTAATGTGATGATAGAAATGATATCCCATATGATGGTTGTTATGAATGCAATTTTCATGTTCATACGGCTGTATTGAATGAGAATAATTGAAATGTAAGATATGTGATTATTAACATCAATTGGATATAAAAATATCTAAATGTCTTAAGAAAAATAATCTGGATGATAATGATCCATCAATTGATATGTAGCTCATGTATTTAATAAATTTAAGATGTGGAGAAAATCAAATCTTAGTTTGATAATGTATGTATTAATTAGTGTGGGAATGGAGTATTAATTAATTAATATGAAGAATGCGATGATGGAAATAATTATGGAGGAAATGGATGTTCTAATTTGTGCAAAATCGAAGATTCTTATCAATGTATGAATTAATAAGGCTTATTAAGTTTATGTACATATATTCAAGCTCCTGAATTTCATTTGAATATTCTATCTGAAACTACAAATTAAATTCAAATTATTGAATTAATGTTCTCTTAATAGGTAAAATTAAAAGAAACTCTTAATTTTAAAGATATCATAGTATTTACTATTTTCCATCAACTCGATATCATTTAATCACAAAAAGCATTTTAAATTTAACAAATACCTTA